AGGTGGTTTTCTTTTAACCTTTGGAACATGGCAGGGTTATCACCTAGAATTACATTCTTATGCTCCCTTAATTATGTATATCTTTTCCTTAACAAACCTTAAAAAAAGATTTCAGATGTTACAAGTCTAATTAAAGAGACAGACAAAGCACAGTTTATACTGTAGATTTTTTCTGCAGTTCAATTAATCAGCATGTTTTCTCTTTTAATTAAAACCATTTTAGTAAATTAAAGCCCACAGCAAAACACATATATAATTTGTTTGTAATTAGCTCTTAATTGGTGGTAGTTGAAGCTTAGCACCCTTGGTTTCTTTCTTCATGATTGCCATTTTATTAGCAGCCAGTCATTAATTAATCTTTTTTTCTAATTAGCTTATAAAACTGTTGATGGCACATTATTGTAAATGTGATTTTAAGTTCAAAGCTTGTTAATAAGCTTTCTTACTTAGAAGAACAGAGATAAAGAAATTGCTGAAAACAGTACTACAGTTCTTTTTTTAAAACTGCCTTTGTTATAAGGGGGCTCTGTAAAGCATCTAACAGCTTATGGTTAATTTTTTAATGCTGTGTTTTCTCGTGAATGGAGGAAGTTACTGGCATTTAAATGCTTAAGTCTAGCAAAGAGCTTAATATTAGAACAGTTTCCTATCCTTGCTCCATTACTGTGTCATCCAAATATAATGTGATGTTGTAATACACAGCATAAAAATACAACAAAGGTATTACAAAGTATTTTAAAGGGGAAGTTGAGCACATCATTGAAAGGGGACAATTTTCACTGCAAAATCCACTCGGTATTCTTGTTTGCTTTATATATTTTATATACGTCAGCAATGGATAACATTCCATAACATAAAAGGAGAAAATCATTGCTAGAGGCAAGCCTGAAATAACTAGATTCATATTTGATGAGAAACTGTAACACTATATTAAAAGGATGTTTGGCTTCTCTGCTATGATCACAGGATATTTCAGGACCTGTTTGAATATAGATGTTTTGTTGGAGCTTTTGTAGGGTTTAATATTTTGTATTTCATACCTCAGTATTTCTGGAGCAGTTCTTGATTCCGTTGTCTCGTATCATTCAGCATTTACATTTTACAGTCCTATCTTAAAGGCAAGTCTTTGCCTTGTGATATTTTATGTTAAATGTCCTGATTTGCAAGGAAGTTTTCTGGAAGTTACAGTAGATTCTGTTGCAACTTAATAAAAATGTTTACTCTTCTGCCTGAACTTTACATTCTATTTCAACTTCAGCCATTTCTTTGCTTGTTTTAAAAGTGTTTTATGATGCTGTGCAAGAAACACTAGAAAGGGATAGCTGACAAGGAAAAAATTAAAAATTGGATAAAAAGTAAATGAATAATGTCATATTACTAAAAAGATGAGAGGCTAATTTGTGCCGACTTTTTGCTAATTTTGTTCAAGCCTCAAAATGAGGAGCTGTCACCCGTTCTGTGTAGCACTGATGACAGTGCCAATGATCCATGAAATAAGCTGCCGCTGGCTTTGTTCTGATAAGAATGAACAAATCTGCACAATGTACGGCTCCCAGAATCTCATTTTCATACTTGCATGCAGGCTAAAAGAAATAAGCTGTTTGCAGGCTTGATTAATCAGACATTTGAGGGTTTTTTGTCTCTTTGATCTCTTTCGTCTCCTAGGTAACTTGCTTGACATTAATGTTGAGCTTGAGTAAAGACAATCAGGAATTGTAGACCAAACTGATATAAAAATTAAAGACCTTAACACTTTAAGTACTCCAGTAATGGTTCCGCTTTACTTCAGAAAACATCTGTTTTCATTTAATTAAAGAACAAAAGAGAATGGCATAAATATTTTTCATAGAGACCTGTTATTCCATAAAAAGTTAAAGTATGATAATTGGTATTTTTAAATAAATGCCTTGAAAGTGTTCAAAAAGAAGCAAAGCTTCAGATATTTGTTACAAGGTAACAATTTCAGATGAGTTGGAAATTTTCATTTATGCTACATTTAACATCTAGAGTAAGATATTTGACATGATTATTGGTCAACTTCAGAATGGAAAGGGCTTTGCCCTGTCGAAACTAAGTTGTTTTTTTAAGTTTGTCTCAAAATACAAATATATATAGTGTTACAAGGATGAACCATTATATCAGCTTTACTACCCAGTATGATTTACACACTTTAAACCTGTAAAATTGAAAGGAATTTAAAAAAAAAATGTCGCAGTGCGTTTGCTTGAGGTTATGCAGACGCTTTTACAAATCTTCCAAGTGGCTGTAAAGATGAATGCCTCAAGGGTCTAGCCAGGGCCCTGCTTTTCCAACCAGCTAAAGCCCTTATCTTAAATCCAAGCAAAGTACCATTAATCTTTTTGAAAGACCTTTTATGGCTTTTAATATATCCCAAATTAGAACATTTTACACCCTTGGTTCCTGAAATATGGTGATAAAAAGCCTTTAGAGCTTAATTTTCCTTACTGCGTGCTCTGACCAATTTGCAGTTCTTTGTGATAATGTTTAGACACCTTAATTAAAATGCAGCAAAATATTGGATGTTCTATATGGAAAATGCTGATACTTTGACTACACAAGAAATTGTTGTATATATTTTTATTCATGCTTTCTTACTTCTTTTAAGATTGTATTTTATTGGGTTATCTGATGACCTGAAATGTTAGTATGGTTTTTTTTTTTTTTTTAATATAAAATCCATTGACCAAGCTTTTATGGATTTCTTATGGGGGGAGCAGGGAGTGAAGATGTATGCCTGGGTTTGGGTGGGAGCAGAAGACATTTAATCTGACTAAAATGTTTGTGTGTGTGTTTATATGCAACATTTGTTTTCATATCTTGAAAATTTGACCATGTAGCCTAGAAATTATAACAATGCTGCAAAATGTTTCTGCATTTACTTCCACATACACCGCAGGGGCTCTTAATATCCCATTTTTTCTGTACCTTTCAAAGATGGAAGAACTCATTCTGTCTTCCAGAAAACGCAGATAAAAAGATTTTTCTGCAGCACTTGGTTAGGGCTCCCTTGTGTATATTTGTATGTGTATAAGTGCTCAATAGGCCACTGGAATATATTTTAAGGAGATTCTGTTATTCATCACACAGTAAAAGTTAATTTTCAAGTGTGTTAGAAGGTAAAATACCTCTAATAAGGCAGGGTTCTGCTGGCTGACTTCAGCCATCAGATTGCACTATTGTTTAAACTAATAATTACTTCTGTTTCAATTTAAAAGTAAACATTTTTTGAATATTTTAGGTAAGTTTTCTTAAGCATTTTTATACTGCAATTATATTAAGGTTAATAGCTGCCCTTAAATATTAAGTGACAATGCAAATAAAAGAATGTTATGTTTTAGTCTTTGACCTGAAATTTAGCAGTTCATGTGTTGGCATTGAATTACTGTTAATAAAAAATGTTAATGCTCAGGGGAAAATTATGTAGATAATATAAAAGTTTTGAAGTAACTAGTCACAGTATTTTGTGCATGAAGATGATTCCAAAGGTACATATTTAGGACCTTATAACACATGCAAATAGTGGATGAGAGACTTGCTCAGTTTTTCCTTTTAAAATATTATTTTTATGAAAATATCCATTTCCCTTTCAAACTGTTATGCTCAGCTCCTGTCTGCTTGTGTTGGCAGCATTTAGATCCTCAGACAAAGCACGAGCTGAGTTGTGTTTGCTGCCTTTCCTTAAAGGCTCCTTTCTTCATTCTTGAACCCTGAGAAGACCATAATGTAGAAGAGCTTGTAGTGATGCTGGTTTAGGTTGGTTTTTATTTTTGCTTTGTTAACAAAATGATCACCTACCTATTGTGTGTTTGATGGGATAGCTGTGGAAAATGTGTCAGTGCATCTACACCTGCAGATAGATGTGTTCTAGAGTTCTCTCTCATCTTACCTGGATAAAGCATTTCTCAGGGTAAATATTTGTCTGCATAGATGCTGCAGATTATTCAAATAGATTACCATTAACAGTGGAACTTCAGCCAAGGTGTTAAAGAGTATTCTTCCCCTTGGGTCTCCCATTCTTTGATGCTCCCATGACATTTTGGGGGACATTTAGAATATCCAGTTTGCTGGATATAACTGTTTGCTAATTTCAAGAAGTTTGGGTGTGGATTGAAGGAAAACCTGTTTGCTCACATCAGTTTGTAGCAATTTAGGGTAAATGAATTGCATGCTTGTCTTGGAGAATAGCAGTAACTTCTGAGAATGAATTCCTTCATAACTCATGTCAAGTCAAGGCAGCAACCACAAAATTTAACTACAAGTTATGAATGTTGATTAAGGGAAATAAACTGGTCATAGTTCACTGTATCTTCTTCCATCTTTTTTTACATTACTCTTCCCTGCCTTTCCCTCCTGCGCTTCACATTCACTAAAGAGAACTTAATTCTCACAGTCTGCATCAGTTTATGGATGTGGTATTCACCTACATGGAAAGCTGGCATATCACACTCTTGCAGTGTAAAAGCTTGTAATGTGGAGATAGACACTAAGGACACTACATCATGTCTTTTTGGACAGACTGATCAAAACCTGTCTAGTGGTTCTAGTGAAAAATGTGTAATGGTAGCAGCTCTTCCTGTATAAAAATGTCTTTTGACACTTGTAAGACCTGATTCTGTTGTGTTGGCATAGCTGAGGTCACAGGCTGGTCCTGATAATGGAGGCTGTATTTGGATGTGTCTGTATAAAAAAAACAAAAGGATCCAGTGAGCTGTTGCCCTTTGGTTTTGGTCTTGGTTTTGAGAATGAGGGATGTGGTGAAAAGGACTGCTTGCCCCAGCATCCTACATCTTTGTGTTTCCCTCAAGAGGCATTCTTGTTTGTCCAGTCTTATAGTGCATCATCAGCCTAATATTTGAAAGATATTTTAGTGTCTATTGACTTTTGAGAAGCAATATCAGACCAAGTAATTTGTGAGGCTTAAATTTCATATGAACCATTTGCATCTTATCAGTTTTCCTTTGTTCCTTTTCATGTCTTAGCTTGGTGTGAAAATTGCCAAAGCTGCCGCTTGCCGCAACTTTGTAAAAGCCAAGCAAGAAGCAGAGGCTGCCCAAGAAGCTCAAAAGAAAAAGAAGCTTGCTTGGGGGTAAGTCATTTGAGTATGGAATTAAACATTTGTGGTTTCATTGGCACTAAGTGTGTACAATACAATCTCAGTTAAATGTTTTTTTTTTAGTTGAAATAGGCTTGTGCTAATCTAATTTGTTTAGTTTAACCTTGTTGGGTTTTGGTGGGCTTTTTTAGGAGTGTATCAGACTTAAGTACAGAGGCTTTATCAAAAATAAAGTGGTGGTTATGTGGCTGTATTTGTCTTCATGTCTTTATTACAGTATTAAAAATAAGGGGTTTTTTTGTTGTTGTTAAGAATAACGTGCTTAAATACCTAAGGCACATACTCTCATCATTCCTAATGTGGATTTTGTGCTCTGTTTCAGATTTGAGGCCAAGAAAAGATGGGAAACAAAAAGCAACATGGGATACATGTAGTCCATCCTGTTTTCCTCAGGAGTCGAATACCTATTGTTACTTGAAGAATTTTTGTGGGCACCTTATTAAATCTAAAAATAAAACCCCCCAAACACAACACATCAAATGCCTAATATTTATCTTAATGTTTTTTAATCTGCACTGTCTTGTTTTGTCACTCTCTTATAAATACAGCAAAAATGCTATCTAAATATCAATACTGTGTTAAATTTTCCTCCTAGATATGAAAGCTAAAGATAACAGATTTCAGGATGAATTTGGAGTCTGGCAGAGAATTCTCTGAAGCTGAAATAAAATCCTTGGTCCAAATGTGTTTTGTGCTGTACTGCAATTATAATGTGTGGGTGTGAGGAGAGGAGTATGTTTGCTTCTGGGGCTACACAGACTTAATGCAGTAAGTACTTCTTTTCTGCTTGTAAGCTGGGGAAAGACACTAAATAAAGAAGAGCAAACCCAACCTATCTTTTTTAAACTAAGGGCATTTATAGCCTTAGTAAATATAAACACACAAAAAAAAATGCCTGGAGAAAAAGTCCATCCTCCCTCTCCTGGAAGGATCTGGTACTATTGGTCATATCCTGGTGCCACATTCTTCATAATATTTCAGATTTCCAGTTTTCTTTCCTTCCTAAGAACACAGGTTTTAAAAGTCCCAGATAAAAATATATAAATACATATCTTGGAAAAATATCTGAACTGTTACGTTGTACAGTTAACTGCACCCAAGATACAAATGCAGATTTTACTCCAAGTCAAACATTTTACAGATCAATTAGGATTTGAATGTTTATGTTATAAGATTATAACAAGAATTGATGATTATGTTTCTTCAAAATTGTTCTCAGTGAAAAGTAAGTACACATTCAAAACTAATAACTTTTCTCCCTGAAGCTCTTGCATATATGTTTAGTCACCACAATGCCTGAATTGAATTGGTAATGTAAATGTCAGTTATTGTTAACCAAGATTAATATGTTTCAGGCCAAAGGTATGGTATTAGTGTAATGGTGATTTACTGTGGAAGTACTTGGGGCTAAAACAACTTGCCAACAAATAGCAATTTGAAGTTTTACGGCAGCAATTCGAGGAGTTCAGGTTTGCAGTCCAAGATGGAATAGTGCATTTTTGTTCATTAGCCCTCGGGATATTTGATTCTTTTTTTTAACATCATATTTCTTTCACACAGATGAGAGTTTGCAATATGGTAATCTGCAGTTAGCTGTAATTAGTTATGATGACAGAGTTGAATACAATTGCCAGGATTGTAAATTGGGGGCTAAACAGGTTTCTGCAGTATAACATCATAAATCTCACACTATGGTTTACAAACATCATTGCTTTGCAAACTTTTGTGTGGAAGGAAGCAAGTGCTATCTCTAGTGAAGTGATTGTAAAGCTGAATTTCATGTTTGCATGTGTAAACACACAGGTTATACCATAACCCTACAGCAGCATCTCTCTCAGTTCCAAATATTCCTGTCCAGAAGTTACAGGCAATCTGTCCATGATTTTTGGGGAGTTTTTTTAAGCATCTGGAAGATGGGTGTTAGATACAGTTGACCTTTGTTATGTACTGAAAAGGAGAATGATGCTGATAATTAATGCCAAACACACCAGCAGCATTCCATTAAACTTTTTAAAGTATCATTTGTTAAATAAGCTATTTTCTTTTTTGCAGTAATTCCTCTTAAAAGTAATGGTATTTGTCAAATCAAGATCTTGATCTAATTGCAAAGAGGTGTTGCAATTAGATCAAGAAAAGTGTTCTTTATTTTGAAATAAAGTGTTCTTTATTTTGAAAATGTGCTTTAACAGAAACCCAAGCCCTCAAAAAACAGTTCTTGCCCAGCTACCTGTAATATTTTAGACTAAATCAATTAATTTTATGTTAGGCTATTAATAATGGAACTGTTTAGGAAGTATGCAGAATATTTGGTTTGGGTCACTTGTATGATGAATTTAAAAATGACCACATTTCAAACCTCTTTATCCACCTAAAGGGTTTGCTTAAAATACTCATGGATTTCCATAATTGTACCATGTTAAAAAATCTTTTAAGAGGGAAAATAAAAAGGCCTAATACAGCTTTATAATAGAGTTCATATAAATACATAAGAAATAAATGAATGCACAACTGTACCTTTAATAATCTTCATCCTAAACTGATGATCTGTTTTTAGTCTTGCATTGTGCTGACACCTTTTTTTAAGTTGTTTTGATCTGTGAAATTTCCCTGTAAATTTTGGACAAGCAAGTGAAAGTGCATTCTAAGACTTAATGTTTCCTATTTAACACTGTTAAACCAATCCAAATGCTTGTTTTGGTTAACTGAAAGCTTTTTAATCAGCTTAAATATACAAGCTCTTACACTGATCTCAACTTGAGATGTAATAATAATTCTTTTAGCAGATGAAAAGTTTGCAATATCTCCTTGTTTGATTGAAATTACGGATCTAGAGGAATTTACTTAAATTATAAATATCAGTACAAATCTGTTGTGATGCCAAATATTTATCAGAAGTTCATTTGATGCTATCTTGAACTGGGCAACAGATCAAAAGCAGCCCTGCCAAAGTGCTTCCTCCCTCTCAGTAGTCCTGAAAAACGTAAATGCATGCACTGGTTTTGCCCCAGTTTTTTTCTCCACCAATTTCATCCAACATCAGTCATGGTATTCTCTTGGGTATCCTGAGTAGCCTTAAGTCTTTTGAGGAAAAATTGTGTAACTTCCCAAGTGTGACTGTGGAGTAAACCAAGAAACTACCTGGAAAGTAGAATGTGCGCTCCCAATTTCTGTGGGAGAAATTGTTGGAGCAAGGCTGTCTCTGGAGCATCCTGGCCTGCTCCAGCCTCTCTCTGTTGTGGGCCAGGCTTTGTCAGTCTGGCCTCTGGACTGGGCTTGTCACTCAGGTGCTGTGCCAGGGTCAGGGGTTTGCTTTGGGGTTTTCAGCAGCCCCAACCCTGTCAGGTTGGGTGGCTCTGCAGCATTTCCCTGAGTGTTGATGCTCTTTGAACACTTCTCACTCGACTGCCCTGTCTTCATTTCTGCTCCCATCTCATGTTCTGGCAATTCTATTGCGTTTTAAGGCCTACATGAGAAATACTTTTATCAGCTCCTGTGATAAAAAAATCCAGTTTGAAGTTTGACAACAGCATACTAATACAATTACTTGTATTTCTTAATACTGCATTCCTGAGCTCCTTAACCAAAGAGTGGCTGCAGGGACAGTTTGACAGATAAAAACATATATATAGTTGTTAGAGTTTTAATAGTTTTTTGCCTGCAACCATAATCTGTATCATTATTTTTTTAGTTTAATTCTGTTGGACAAGTTTCAAAGATAAATGTGGTGTGTAATAAGTCTTTGCAGCCTCTAATTTGTGAAGGAGTGTCTGTCCAGTTAATACTTGCTCATTGAAGCAAGGGGTTTTGAAATAGCTGAAGTACGAACTGTAATTACTGATGTCTGTTTCCTATTCACCTATGGCTTCTGGCATTTGATCAAAAACTGTAATGTATTGCTTAATCTCAAAGCATTCCCCACTTTCAAAAATATTTACCTCATGAGAATTGCACAGCACTAAATGACCTTAGCAAAACCAGAGTAGATTTTTATTTGGCATTGATCATACGTAGCTAATCCACCAACAAGTATTTTTCCTGTTATTTTTGAGCGTTGGTAATTTAGGTACAGATGTGTCTGTAGTGTACCTTTAGTGCAAGCTTAAAGCATCTTAAAAAATATTAGATATATTAATAGCAGGGTGGGATTTTTACTTCACAAATGGGGTGGCTAAAAAGAGGAGTACAAAGGTTGAGCAATTTATGTGAGGGCAAACTCCTGGCTGGCAGCAAAGTGGCGAGTGAAGGAATCTCCTGGTTTGCTGTTTTGTCAAAGCTGAGAATAACAGAGAGAAATCAGTCTTGAACAATTTTGTGGCAGGTGCCTAATCCTCTTTGAAAGTCATTGGGAATTGGGCACCTCATTACCATCTCTCCCACCGAGAGAGTAGAAGAACTGTGATATTGAATGCAGATGTTCTGAGCATCACAAGAGTAAGTAAAAGCCCAAATTTCATTTGAGAAAAGTTATCATTTTTCGTGTTGAAAAATGCCTGCATTGCTTTGATCTGTCTCCAGCTGTGTTTATTTTACCATCAAATCTTGTCTTCCCTAGTTTCTGTGGGATTGTAACAGAGCTGAGAGGTTTCTATTTCTTTACTTGTAATTGGACCTGGAATAAAACATTTTGCCCTAAAAAAAGTACAGGAGCTAAACAGACACTAAGAAATGAAAACAACCAGCTTTATAAAAGGAGTTCTACCTATCTTACATGTGATTGTGCTTGCCATGCTTGTTGTCTGATACTGAATCATCATCCTGACTCAAATAGTATGTTCCTTTCTCTTGGAGTTTCCCAGGTGTGCTGGCTGCCTGACTCACAGATGGAAGTGACTTCAGGCTGGCATGAGGTGACCACAGATTGAAATGAGCATTTGTATTTCCATGTTACGTGTCCTAATGAGTCAGTCTTTGGCAGCTTTTGCTGTAGCTGAGGAAAATAGATACAAGAAAAAAAGACAGATACAGAAATAAGGGTTTTACCCAAATGAGAACTGACTGCTTTCTGGTAGCCAGAGAAGGAATTTTGTTCATCCTTTTTTCACAGCCTCTCTGAAATGAACAATATATTCAGGTAGCCCAAACAGCAAGTTCAGATATCAAGCAAAGTGTAATGCTGCCTGTGGACTCTCTTAGCTGGATAGTGTTTATGGTATTTTAAGGATGTCTCTGTGGAGAAGTGGTTGCTGACCTTGTCAGATATTTAATCCTGAAATGCCAGTTGGTGTCTACTGGTACAGACCAGTATTAATTCCAAACTAGCAGTGCCCTGAATTTACCAGTACTGCTCAAAGAGAAAGCAAAAGAATCTGCTGCTTCTCTGATTACTCTGATGCTGTCCAATCATCTGCACCTGTGATCAAAAATCATTGCATTCTTTTGTGAATTGAAAAGATTACCAGCATAACTGAGGATCACTGAGGTTGTTTTGACATTGATTCCTCTTCTGTGGAACTTATAAAAATACATTTTCCACAATTATATTTGAAGTATGTCACCAGCTCCTCGAAGTACCCTCGGTAATAGCACAGGATTGTGAGAAAGCCCTGAGTAAAACCAGGTGTAATGTGCTGCTATAAAGTGTAAACATGCAAAGAACATCAGAAAGTTGACGGATCGCGTGATTCAGCTTTAATTACCATCAAACAATGGAGGATGGAGCTTTTAGTTTTTGCAAGTTAATGAA